AAAGCAATAGGTTGCCTCTGCTGCATTAGAATAGCCCTTATACCCCTGCCAGCCGCATCACGCTCAACCTCAAAGGGTAACTCAAAATTTGGAAGGATTAGCACAGGAGGAGAAGTCATGATCCTCTTCATTTCCTCAAAAGCCTTGACAACTTCTATTCCCCAAGAAAAATTGTCTTTCTTAGTCAAGTCAGTGAGAGGTTTTGCTATTTTACCATAATCCCGGATGAACTTTCTATAATACCCTGTGAGTCCCAAAAAACCATGTACCCCCTTCACGTTCTTTGACGTAGGCCACGCAAGAATACACTTCACCTTCTCAGGGTCCACTACCACACCCTCACCAGAAATGATATGGCCAAGGTAATCAATTTGTGTGCACCCAAACCTACACTTTGCTTGGTTTGCCACAAAACAATGATCCACTAAAACCGACAAAACCATCTTCAAATGCCTTTGGTGTTCCTTGATATCTCTACTGTAAATCAAAATATCGTCAAAAAACACCAAGACAAACTTTCTCAAATATGGTCTAAAAATGTCATTCATGGTAGCTTGGAAGGTAGTCGGGGCATTCATCAGTCCAAACGGCATGACCAAATACTCATAGTGGCCATTATGTGTTCTAAATTCCGTTTTAGGGATGTCATCCTCATGCACTCTGATTTGATGATATCCAGATTTTAGATCAATTTTAGAAAACATAGTAGCTCCATATAATTCATCTAACAGCTCATCGACTATAGGAATTGGGTACTTATCTGGTATTGTAGTTTTATTTAAGGACCGATAATCTACACACATTCACCAGCTCTTATCTTTCTTCTTGACTAGTATCACAGGACTTGAAAAAGAACTCATACTTGGACGAATGACTCCTGCTCTCAACAGTTCTGACACTTGCTTCTCAATCTCTTCTTTTTGGTGGTGAGGATACCTGTAGGGTCTGACATTAATAGCACCATGGTCCGGATAAAGTTTAATTTGATGCACCTGACTCCTCTCAGGAGGTAGCTGAATGCTGTCTCCAAACACTGCCAGGAATTCTTTTAGTATCGACTTTAAGCCCTTGGAAATCACTGATTTAGTTACTTCTATTGACTGTAAATAAGCCCACCACCAACCCAACTCACTTCTTCTATGAGTGTTCTCAAGGTAAGAGTTTAGATATCCTTTGCTTCCTTGACCTTGCAATTTTACCAACTCATTTTCATAAGAAAATTGCATAGTCATGGCCTTCCAATCCATCATCACCTTCCCAAGAGTACTTAACCAAGCAACTCCTAACACCATATCCATTCCTCCTAACTCTAACACCAGCGCATCCACAGTCACTTTAATCCCTCCCAGCTTCATGTTGATCCCTTTACACACTCCACTTGTTATCACTTTATGACCGTCACTAATTTGATACTCTTAGCTGTTGTAGGTGTGATAGAAAGACCTAAAGCAGTAGTCACTTTGGGAGAAATGAAGTTGTGACTCGCACCACTATCAATCAACACTAATAAATCTACATTCTGTATCTTCCCTTCAACCTTCATAGTGTGAGATTCACCCATGCTTCCCAATACCCTCATCAGTTTACATTCCACCTTCACTTCTTCTTCACTTTCCACCGTCACGTCTTTCATGCTTACAATTTCCCCTTCTTCTGTCATAGTTTCACCCTCTCCTAAGATTAAAACCCTAAGAGCTCTTTCTGGACATTTATGTAACGTAGGGTGGTATTTTTCCCCACATTTGAAACATAGAACCTTCGCTCTCCTCTCTTCGAATTCATCATTGTGGAGACTTCATACTCCCTTCCATCTCTCCGCCGCGCCGGTACGCGACCCCCCTTGGTTTTTACGAGCTGAGGAAACCAAAGAAAATGTTGAATTCGCGTTGGATCCAGTCGAACCCGTTTTCTGACTCAAGTTTGACCTACCCGCCTGAAACGGATGATTTGCATCCTTGGGTTGAAACCCACTTTTACTCCTTAATGACCCGGCCCAATCTTTCTGCCCACACGCTCGTACCCCCCTCTTTTCACATCACGACGCTCATCATCATCATCGTCCTCCTTCAATTCCTCTTTAACATCCTTCGCAATCCTCATCATTTCCATCCTATTTCGGGGATTCAGAGTACGCACCCTCCTTCGAATCTGGGGTTTCAATCCACTCATAAAATATCCCAAATACTGTTCTTCAGGAAGCCTGCCAACTTGTGATGACAACAGCTCAAAGGCTTCGACGAAGTCCTCCATACTTCCCTTCTGCTTCAACGTCGAAAGCTCCTCGAACGGATTCTCCAGACGATGTCCGCCATAACGAGCAATTAACGCTCGCTTCAACTTTTCCCATGACAACTCATCTTCTGTCTCCATCAACAGGTTGAACCAATGAATGGTTGAACCTTCCATGCTCAAGCGAGCCAACTTCACACGCATATCATCTGATGTGTTTTGAACATCAAAATAAATTTCGGCCCGTGTAATCCAAGCCACAGGATCATCGCCATCAAACAGAGGCAATTTCACCTTCTTTTCGGCGAGACGAGACTCACTCTGTGCAGAATCACTCGTAGAGTTTTCTCCTTCTGGCGTCTCTCCTTTCTTTCCAATCTGTTTACTTAGTTCTGCTAGAACCAAGCTTTGTTGATGCATTTGCTGAGTGTGTTGCTGCATCTGAAGAGAAAGTTCTTGCAGTGTTGTCGTCACATTTCCCATATGTGTCTCTAAAGCGCCAACTCGGTCACCCATCTTAGGCTTCCTTGGCATCTACAGTCGTCTTCTGTGCGTGAGTTTGATCCGGCAGGTCGGACCAATTGATGGGTCTTAAAGCACAAATTAGTAAAAAAATGGATAAAACAGTGTGATAAGAAACTGTAATTGTATTACTATGAGATCCACAATTACAGGAAAATGGGAAGGAAGAAAAAGAAAATAACAAACTGGTAGTGGCTACCAATTCCCAAGCATAGAGTGTTCCCAAATCACCAAAAGTGACCCCACCAAATCCTAACAGAATTCTTTCTCCCTTATTCCCTTCCAGCTGTAGCTATATATAGCCACTCTCATGCCCTTAATTCATTCATAGCCACGTCATCATCTTTAATTCCTTTTGTTTTCTTCCTAGTGTAAACTCTCCACACCCTTGGCCTAGGTCCCACTTCTCTAATCACATTTCTATCAAAAAGCTCTTTTGGCTAAGTGGCTTTGGAGGTTTTTAAACGAAAGTGATGTCATCTGGTGAGGATTCTCGAAGGAATGTATGGAAATTTTGCCAAGTCCATAATTTGTAAAGAGCCTCTAAGTTCCAGTCTGGCATCTTCCTTTTGGTGGAAAGATGTCATGCAGTCCCGTGAACAGGTGGGAGATGAAGAATTTGCTGATCTAATCTCCTTCAGATTAGGGGATGGAGGTAGTGTTTTATTTTAGCTGGTTAGATGGATAGGGAACCGGTCCCTACAAAGTATGTACCCGAGCTTGTGGAGCATTTGAGACAGGAAATTTGGATTGGTGAAAGACATGGAGGTGTGGGATGAGGAGGTGTGGAGACGGCAACTAGGCATCAAGTTGGTGAAAGAAAATATGTCATTGCAGCAAGAGTTTTATGAACTTTCAATGTTGTTGTTGGAGGTTTGTCCTAAGAAGGATTCTAAGGATGTCAACATTTGGCCTTATTCTCTAAGTGTTTTTCTATCAAGTCCTTTTATGACAGGTTAATGTTGTCATTCGATGGAGGAACCTTCGATGCTGATAGCAAGTCAGCTTTAAGAATTATATGGAAAGCAGATGTTCTGATGAAGGCCAAAGTGTTTGCTTGGAGATTGATTTTAGACAGGCTTCCTACACGTGTAAATCTTGCTAGGCGTGGAATCACCCTCAACTCCCGTGAGCAAGTATGTGTATTCTGTTTTGTATTTGATGAGGATTCAAATCATTTGTTTTTTAACTGCGTTAAAATTAAGTCAATTTGGAGAAAGATATGTGATTGGTTTGAGGTGGTTGAGATAATTGAAACATGTTGTTGTTGTCATCTGATGTCATGGCAAGAGAAATTGAGGGGGGAGGTTTCCTCGCCTAGTGCAAGTGGAATTTGGTTTATTGTGTGTTAGTGCATTTGGTGGATCAGAAATCAAATTCTTTTCAATAATGAAGTTGGATATCCAGAGTTAGTGGTGCAGAGAGTCATTCTCATTTCATGGTGGTGACTAATCAAGAGAGCTAATCATAACATTACTTGCAATTACTATGAATGGTGTAAATATCCTTAGAAGTTTCTTTAGACTTTGGACTTGGATGTAACCTTTGTTTCTTGTGGATTGTAATTGGGTTGAAGTACTCTTGTTAAATTAAAATTTTAATTATAAAAAAAAAAAAAAGAAGAAAAGAATATGCTTTTGTTTAAATTAGTTTTTAAGAAGTCTTATGATTCTACCAAATGATAATATAATGATGTTTTGTTGGCTAAAATGAACTTCACGATAAGATGGAGGACGTAGTTGCTAGAATGTGTGAGTTCAGCTTATGCTTTCGATTTTACTCAATGACAGTTCCACAAATGAATTTTAATTGTACAGAGGAACCTCGTCAAGGATATTATTTTTCAACCTTGTTTTTAATCATGTCCCAAGATTTTAATGTTTTGTCGAAAACAATGATAAATGTTTGTTTATTTGTGGGATTTCAAATTGATTTAGATAATGAGTTATGTACAGTTACAGTTTATATAAAGCAATGATAAATTTATATAAAAGAACATATGTGGGAATGAAATTGATTTGCAGCTAAGTACAGTTACAATTTAAGACACCAAATAATGTATTGTATACATAAGTAAAACTATCTAATGTAATCTTAAATGCATTATAGTGTGTGTATGTGTTTTTCTAGTATTGTACTAAACCTTAGACCATTAAGACACAAACAACAAAAAGTATAAAAAGAAAAATTGTGCTGCAAAAGCTAGCTATACGGATAAAGAATTATGAATAATTAGAATTAGAAACACTTTATAGTGCTCGTGATTTAACGATATCAAAGCTCATTTCACTTGGATCTGTTGCTTGCAACTCAACTTGAATGCCATCAAGTTCCCTCTTGAATCTGTCCTTGGTGCTAGCATACACCATCTTATGTCTCACCTTTGATATATCTGGAGACCTAATTAATATCAAATCGGACAAGATTAACATGATAAGTATATCTAATAACAAAATAAATAGTTGTCTGTTTCGTTAAGCCAACTCAGATGATAGTTATGCAGAACATCAGATGCATGCAGGAACACAGGTTTAAATCTGCGACATCTTACTTATTTCACCTTTAAATAAAATTCCGGTCACTAAACTATTTGACAGAAAAATGCAAACAGCTAATATGAAATTAATTAAATTACCATGCAATGAAGAAAATCTTGCTTTTCTGGCAGTTTTCAGAAGTGATGAAATCAAAATCAAAAACAGCATAGCGACACTCATCAGCAGGCAGAGATGCACTGAAGTCTTCATAGGTTTCTTCCGGACCTCCGAGTTTCTCCACCACAACTTCTTGGTTCTCGATCTTAAACACAATGAAACGATAGTTTCTCTTCGCTTTTAACTCTAGAAACTTCAATTTACATTCATCGTTAACAGCCATTCCAGACGCCGCGTTAGCCTAAACATGTTTTTGAAAAATATAATAATCAAAGAATCATGTAATTAAAGCATAAGATATAATCACATAAATAACTTGTGCGCCAAGTAATCTAATGAATCAATATGCTTGATGAAATTATATTTATATGAAATCCAAAAACAACAAAATATCAGATTAGATGTTATATTTTCATGCAAGGGAACGTCTCGTCATATAATGGAATTCATCGAGTGAGGAATGAAACTCGAATGATTTGTGTTCTTGTTAGCATTGTTGAAGATGATAGACGCGGAACTTACCATGTTGTCGGAGGTGATAGAGAAAGCTAAGAAAACAATGAGAAAGAAAACAATTGAGAAAAAAAGTGAGAAATGAGAGAGACAAAGGAAGAGATCCTTATTTTTGGGAGAAGTAAGGAGAGATTAGAGAGAAAAACGGAGAGCAAGAGAATTTAGAGGAAAGAAAGAAAGGTTGAAATCACTTGAAACTTGAATTAAGTTATATTGTGGAGGAAGGATGAACGTACCATGTTATTCCGATAGATTGTAATTTGCATGAGCTAATTAAAAAACATTTCTATTGCATAAACTATTTTAGGCACTACTTGTAGAAATCTACCTTTTTATTTATATTTTAAACACTAATTCTATCGTAGGTTGAAATTGTGAATCATCCGCTAAATGTAATTTAAAAATTTAAAAATAAAAAATTATGTAATTTCTAAATTTTAAAATAAATTAAAAAAGACTCAATAAATGGGTGTAGGTAATATTAAAAAATTTAAAAAAAAATCAGTTTTTAATTTAAATAAAATTTTGGTTTAATAAATATTTTAGTCTTTTAATTTAGTTTTTTAACTTAACAAACACTACAAGTTAATTCTTTAACTTTACTTCTGCTATTATTTTTGGTCATTTTCGTCAATTTTTAAAAGAAAAAAAAAATAGATTAAGTTCGGGTGATATAATGTGACAGTAAAAGCGTTAGTAAAAATTTGAGTCAGTATATATAATTAAAAATTAATACACTTTTTAAACGGTAGAGTTCTTTCAAAAACAATAATTCAGATTTGTATCAATGACCTTATTGTCACATCACGACCACATCATCTGAATGTAACTTTTTTTTCGTTAAAAATTGACGGAAAGACAATAGAAATCTTCGGACTAACTTATAACATTATTTAGTTAAAGAACTAAAATGAAATATTAAATTAATTTAAGAAATTGTGATTAATTATGTATAAAATTTAAAATTTAATATAAATTATTTCACAATTTAAATAAATAAATAAATAATAAGTTGAAATCCAAGAACCAATTTTATATGCCCAACAGATACAAAAAAGTTTGTATTTATAACAATAATAAAAAGAAATCAAAATTTAATTATTATTATAAACAAAAGTTAACTATTTAAACTATTTGACAATATTATTCTTAATATATTTCATTTGATTCAAAAACATTTAATACATTATACATACAGTTGAGTGAATTATTCATTATTTATCAAAAGGGGCAAATTAATAAAATTGATTTATATTAGACATTAAATATAAATAAATAAATAAATAAATAAATTTTGTTCATAATAATGTACAGGAGAGAGTAATTTATATGTTTTTAAGTCATTATTCGTACAAGTTAAGTGAAAAAGTTTTAACCATTCATTTCTCAAAAATTATAACAGTAAATCATTGTTGGTACAAGTTTGGTGAAAAAGTATCTGTATCCGTATCAATTGTCATTTCTCAAAAATTATGACAACATTAATAGTATATTATTCCTCAAAACTTATGACAACAAAAGAAAAATACATCAAACACAATTTTAAAATGGAAAAATGTGTTTATTTAAACAGACAATTTCATCCCGTCTCTCACAGTTGTAACCTCAGCATTGGATTTTCCTTTCATCTTCTACCGGCCACTGCACCTACAAATAATGGAACAATGGTTAATGGTTAAAATATAGTTCACAATCATGGACAAGTATATCTTATTTTAACTAAATCATTGGTACGGTGGTTAAAACATAGTTACCTAGTATGCAATACTCATTGGAATATAGATAGTAGCAACACATTTACTTTGTATGCTAGTATTTGAGTTAGTTGTGAGCTTTAAATTATTAATTAGTAATGCTTTGAATATAAGTTTAACACACTAGCTATCAAAGAGACTTATAATTCTGTAAAAAGAAATTGAGAAAAGTCGTCTAAAATCCAAATAATAGATTATAATACCTTTGGATCATGACCATTTCCAGGGCAATTATAACTGAAGTGCCCATGTGCATCACAAAATAAGCACCTAGCAAGTCTTCCTCCACCTACAACATAAATGAACAATTTTGAATCATTAATTGGAGTCAGCTGCATAATGAGTTTTTTTAGGAAGCCTCTTCTGCCAGATAAACAAAATATGACAACTGCCATAGTTCTCAAAATTGACACAAGGAATAATATACTAGCATAACGACCAAAATTCCATTTCGAAAGAGCTACAGTCCTAATATATTTCCTTTCATGTTTCAATTTTATAAAGAATAGAGTTCTATTGCCTAGAAGGAGAGCTCAAAAGAATCCTGTTTTTCACTTTAACAAAATCCTCATTTTTCACTTCGGCTGAAGCCAGTGACTTGCAATATACCACCACAAGTATTTCATTGTCACAAGGTCCCATCCAATCAAAGGAAGAAATTTAAACAGGCCAGAGTACAGAAAGTCTTGAGATGAATCAATGCATGTGAAGTAAGCTTTTAATGTAAAACAGAGTTATCAATCCTTGATGGTTGATGGTGGCACATAGTGGCCGACATAAATAATGCTACAGCACAATAGTTAACATTTTTTGTGCATATAGATAACTAGTAAGAAATACTAAATATATAAATGCTGAAAAACTAATGAAATATTCATCAATAAGATAAAATATTTACATGCCTTGGGCAAAACGCAAAAGTACAACAGCAATCAAGTTTTGCATCTAGGCTGGAGAAGTGGCATATAGGCTGCAACTGACTGATCAGTCCAGGATCCAGGATCCACCCTGTTTTTCATGTGTCGTTATTGAAGAAAGCAGTTGGAGACTATCAGGTGCTAGGGGAACTTCCCAAAGATTTGGAACTCACAGATGAGAGTGATGTGTATCCAGAGAAGGTCATGGGCTCTAGGGCGACTGTGAAGGGAGGAGTGACTGTGCAGCAAAGTCTCATTAAATGGAAGCACAAGACATGGGAGGATAATGCAGTGTTGCAGGGTCAATTTCCAGATTTTTGCCTTGAGGACAAGGCTGTTTCTATGGAGCGGGAGTTGATAGAAAGGTGAATCAAGTGGTGGGCCTCGACAGTGGGCCCAAGCCAAAGGTTTGGAGGGTTTACAGGAGAAAGAAAGGGAAAGGAATAAGGGATAATTTTGCATGAGGTACTATATTAGTGGGTGGAGTCAGAGAGAATGGGGGCAGAGAATTCTGTTATTGTGTGTGGTCACTTTCACAATGATTTGGGAGCACGGCTGCTACAGGGCTGATAGTGGCTGTCACTATCAGTTTGTTAGTTTGTTATTTTGTCATTATTCATTCTCTTACTCTTGTAATTGATTTTCCATTAATTCCACCACAGTTTTCTTCCATCTCTTTATTCTTTTCTCCACTGTTTGTTCATATTTTTCACACATCAACCTATCAATTGGTCCGACCTACCGGATCAAAAAAATCACCGTACCAAAATTGTAGATGCCACAAAAGCCTAAGATGGGAGATCGTATGGACGCGTTGGAAACACAGATGGTTGACGTCAAGGCTACACTGCAAACTTTGGCTCAACAGATGCAACAACAAAGTTTGGTTCTCTCTGATTTATGTAATCAGATCGGTCAGAAGAATACGAATAAGGAGAATGGAGGTTCCATGGGTGAGTCTTCGCATGAGGAATCACGTTTGTCAGGGAAGAAGGTGAAACTGCCACTATTCGAAGGAGACGATCCTGTTGCATGGATCACACGAGCTGAGATCTATTTTGATGTGCAGAATACGACCAATGAGATGCGAGTGAAGTTGGCACGTCTGAGTATGGAAGGGTCTACCATACACTGGTTTAACCTTTTGATGGAAACAGAGGACGAACTGTCCTGGGAAAAGCTGAAAAAGGGACTGATTGCGCGTTATGGAGGAAGACGTCTGGAAAATCCTTTTGAGGAATTATCCACGTTGAAACAGAGTGGTAGTGTAGAAGAACTTGTGGAAGCTTTTGAGCTTTTGTCATCACAAGTGGGACGACTTCCAGAGGAACGGTATCTAGGTTATTTTATGAGTGGTTTGAAGCTACAAATTCGTCGTAGGATTCAGACTCTCAATCCCCTGAATCGGATGCAAATGATGCGAATCGCAAAAGACGTAGAGGAAGAGTTGAGAGAAGATGATGATGACGTAGGCAGATACGGTAGCAAAAAAGGAGGGCAGGATCGATTGGGCCGTAATGATGGGGCCGGGTCAGTTTTTCGGAGCAGGAGTGGGTCAAACCCGAAAGAGACAAATCGTTTCAGTTGGGCCAACCCGACTCAGAAAACAGGATCTAGTGGATCTAACACGCTCTCTACGATGTCCTTAGCTTCAACTGGGAAAAAGGGTGAAAATGACTCGCAATCTGAAAAATGGAAAGGGATTGGCAGCATTCACAACGATGAGATGGCTGAGAGAAGAGCGAAGGGTTTGTGCTTCAAGTGTGGAGGCAAGTATCACCCTACTCTCCATAAGTGTCCGGAGAGATCCTTACGAGTGTTGATTTTGGGTGAAGGAGAAACTCTTAATGATGAAGGTGAAATCGTAACTATGGAGGAAGTGCAATCTGATGAGGAAGAGGAGGAGGAGGAGGTAGAATGTAAATCCATGGGTGTGTTGGGAAGTATGTGTGGAAATCGTACCATGAAAATTGAGGGAAAAATTGAAAATGTGGATATGTTAGTGTTGATTGATAGTGGCGCGAGCCACGATTTCATCTCCCCTCAAGTAACAAATGCGTTGGGGTTAGAAATCACTCCTGAACCTGCCAGGAGCATCAAACTTGGAGATGGACATAAGGTGAATTCTCGAGGGGTGTGCAAAGGAATTGTAATGAAGATGGGGTCTGTGACGGTAGTCATTGATGCGTTGGTACTGGATCTGGGAGGATTGGATATGGTGCTGGGAGTCTCGTGGCTGAGCACACTGGGAAAGGTAGTAATGGATTGGAAGGTGTTATCTATGCAGTTCATGTATGAGGGTTGGAGAGAACGGTTGAAAAACTACTCTTTCTTTGAAAGTTTCTATACATCTGTCCTTTTTTACGGAATTTTTTTAGAGGTTTTTTTTTCCTCTTTTCGGATGGTAAAAATTCCTCAAAATATAGAGTATATGAATATAGAGTATATAGAGTGTCACGCAAATCAGTGTCAAGTAAATCTATGTTTAAATCGAAATCAGTGTCAAGCAAATCAGATGGTAAAGGTGTTGGGTCAAGGTAGCAGGCAAGGGGAGCATAGTTATTTGAACTCATTTTTGGAAGACAAACGGAATAGGATGGGAACTGAATGGTGGTGGTCTCAGCATCACCAATTGGAAGCTGGTGAGGTCTCTGTGCCAACAGAATTAATTGCAACTCTGGAACAATTTCTTGCAGTTTTTAAAGATCAAATTCAGCTGCCTCCAGAGAGGTCTCAAGTGCACCATATCAAATTATTTCCAAATCATGGGACAATCAATGTTAGGCCCTACCGGTATCCTCACCATCAGAAGGAGGAGATTGAGAAACAAGTGACTAAACTGTTGCAGGCAGGAGTGATCAAACCCAGTATGAGTGCTTTCTCTAGTCCGGTGATTTTGGTAAAAAAGAAAGATAAAAGTTGGAAAATGTGTGTGGATTATAGAGCCCTCAATAAAGCTACAGTTTCGGATAAATACCCTATTCCCATTGTAGACGAATTATTGGATGAATTATATGGCTCGACTGTTTTTTCGAAGATTGACCTTAAGTCCGGATATCATCAAATCAAGGTGCATGAAGATGATATTCCCAAAACAGCTTTTAGAACTCACAATGGCCACTATGAGTATCTAGTGATGCCATTTGGGTTAACGAATGCTCCAGCCACTTTTCAAGCAACTATGAACGAAATTTTTAGGCCTTTCTTAAGGAAATTTGTCTTAGTTTTTTTTGACGATATCCTTATATACAGTAAGAACATTCAAGAGCATCAGAAGCACTTAAGTCAGGTTCTTGCTGTTTTACTTGAGAACTGTTTTATTGCAAATCAAGCTAAGTGTAACTTTGGGTGTAAGCAGATTGATTACTTGGGGCACATCATCTCAAGTGAAGGGGTAGCAGTAGATCCTGCGAAAGTAAGGTGCATTTTGGATTGGCCAGAACCAAAGAACGTAAACGGAGTTCGTGGGTTTTTGGAACTTACGGGGTACTATAGAAAATTTATTAAGGACTATGGCAAGGTGGTCAAGCCTTTGACTGAGCTGACCAAGAAGGACAACTTTGCGTGGGGAACAGAGGCAAATGCAGCTTTTCACTTGATGAAGATTATCATGACTTCACCCCCTGTATTGGTATTACCTAATTTTTCTTTACCCTTTGAAGTGGAATATGACGCAGCTGTTAGAGGTATCGGAGCAGTGTTAATGCAGCAGAGGAAACCTGTAGCGTTTTTCAGCAAAGCATCATCTCAGGGCAATTTAGCAAAGTCTGGTATGAAAAAGAGCTTATGGCTTTGGTACTGTGCATTCAGCATTGCCGACACTATTTGTTGGGAAGGCAGTTCACGGTATACACGGATCACAAGAGTCTAAAACACTTCCTGCGGCAAAGAATAACTTCCCCAGACCAGCAGTGTTGGTTGGCTAAGTTGCTTGGCTATCAGTTTGAGGTGAAGTACAAACCAGGGATGGAGAACAGAGCTGCTGATGCTCTATCCAGGTGTTATAATGATGCTGAATTGGGTACTTTGATTTCGTACCCTCAATGGACCAATAGCAAGAAACTTTTAGATGAGGTGAAAGATGATCCAGAAATTCAGAACATGATACAAACTGTGTTGTCTGCTCCTGATTCTAAGCCAGGCTATTCTGTTAAACAAGGTATGTTGTTTTATCATGACAGGCTGGTTCTTTCTCCTAAGTCCCCATCTATCCCTCTTCTGTTGGAGGAATTTCATTGCACTCCTACTGGTGGACATTCAGGGTTCTTAAGAACTTATCGGAAGCTGCCGGATAATTTATATTGGCTTGGAATGCAGAAGTCGGTGAGAGAATTTATGCGTGCTTGTGATGTTTGTCAAAGACAAAAATATGCGGCCACGACTCCCGGAGATTTGCTGCAACCTCTTCCCATTCCTAATGGTATTTGGGAGGACCTTTCTCTAGATTTCATTACGGGTTTGCCCAAGTCTAAGGGTTATGAGGCTGTACTTGTGGTTGTGGACAGGTTGTCCAAGTACAGTCACTTCATATTGCTCAAGCACCCTTACACAGCGAAGTCCATTTCTAAATTGTTTGTAAAAGAAATAGTGAGGCTTCATGGAATTCCAAATTCCCTTATCAGTGACAGAGATCCCTTATTTGTGAGCCATTTCTGGCTGGAATTATTTAAATTGCAGGGCACTAAATTGCAGATGAGTTTTGCCTATCATCCAGAAACAGACGGGCAAACGGAAGTGATAAATAGATGTCTGGAAAGCTATTTGAGATGCTTTGCTTCTGATCAGCACAAAAATTGGTCAAATTGGCTCTCTTGAGCTGAGTTTTGGTACAATACCACCTATCATGTGTCGATTGGGAAAACTCCTTTTGAAGTGGTTTATGGAAGGCATCCTCCTAGTATTCTACGGTTTTTATCAAATGAGACTAAGGTGGCTGCGGTGGCATTAGAGCTAAGTGAGAGAGATAAGGCTCTAAAACAACTTAAATCACATCTACAAAGAGCGCAAGAACAGATGGCGAGCTATGCTAACAAGAAGAGAAGAGATGTGCGTTTTCAGGTTGGTGAATGGGTCTTTTTGAAATTACGACCTCACAGACAGCATTCAGTGGTTAAACGGATCAATCAAAAATTAGCGGCACGTTTTTATGGGCCTTTCAAAGTTGTAGCTAAGGTTGGAGAAGTGGCATATAGGCTGCAACTGACTGATCAGTCCAGGATCCACCCTGTTTTTCATGTGTCGTTATTGAAGAAAGCAGTTGGAGACAATCAGGTGCTAGGGGAACTTCCCAAAGATTTGGAACTCACAGATGAGAGTGATGTGTATCCAGAGAAGGTCATGGGCTCTAGGGTGACTGTGAAGGGAGGAGTGACTGTGCAGCAAAGTCTCATTAAACGGAAGCACAAGACATGGGAGGATAATGCAGTGTGTTGCAGGGTCAATTTCCAGATTTTTGCCTTGAGGACAAGGCTGTTTCTATAGAGCGGGAGTTGATAGAAAGGTGAATCAAGTGGTGGGCCTTGACAGTGGGCCCAAGCCAAAGGTTTGGAGGGTTTACAGGAGAAAGAAAGGGAAAGGAATAAGGGATAATTTTGCATGAGAGGTACTATATTAGTGGGTGGAGTCAGAGAGAATGGGGGCAGAGAATTCTGTTATTGTGTGGGGTCACTTTCACAGTGATTTGGGAGCACTGCTGCTACAGGGCTGATAGTGGCTGTCACTATCAGTTTGTTAGTTTGTTATTTTGTCATTATTCATTCTCTTACTTTGTAATTGATTTTCCATTAATTCCACCACAGTTTTCTTCCATCTCTTTATTCTTTTCTCCATTGTTTGTTCATATTTTTCACACATCAACCTATCAGTAATCTTCAATAATGAGACAACACTTATTGAATTTTCTCCTATATAAACAGTCCTAGACTGCAATAATAAACATGAAAGTATTTTTACCCTACAAAAGAACTTGGCAAAATCACTTTCATACAAATCACAAACAAAACAAGTCGGTTATAAGTGAAATATACTGTATACTCCCCCATCCATAACAAATTCCAAAATAGGCATGGCTAAAAATCTGAGATAATGGTGCAAAATAAATAATATTTACCACTCAGATATGATTTCATCAATTACTATTATTATAAGTTTGTCTCATGAGTTACTATTATTAACAATATTAAGTACACCCTCCTCCGATCCCTATTATAAGGAAAATGAACTTTTTTAATTCATTGAACAAATGATGTATCAGTTGTTCAATGAACCAAAAAAAAAATTCAATTTTGCAAGTAACAAACTAAGTTTAGGAAAGCATATATACTCATGAAAATTTCAATGAAAAACAGTAAAATAAATTTACAATAGTCATGCAACATATAGATTTGATATAGTTCTCACAGTAAAAATGACGTTTTTGACTTGCTCGCATTAAAAAAATATAAGATAAGAAATTCATGAAAAAAAGCATAAATATTAACACACCTGCTTTATACACTGAGCATTTTCCAAGTGAATGCCCGATTTCCCCACAGAAGAAGCAAATCTCCTCATCCTTGGAGAGGTATTTAAGCTTTTGGCATTGTTGAATTGTGTGATCGGTTTCCCGGCATGCCCAACATATCTGCAAACACCAAGTTACCCCATTAAAGTACTACAACGGGATAATTCTAAATATCTAATTGAATCAACTTTAAAACTGGGTGGGATCACTCTTTAGGAACTGTCTTTGATTATTTTATGCTAGACTAGAGTAACAAAAAATAGAACTACTTAAATTAAATCCATGAATCATATTACGTACCATAGAACTTATACCATGTTGATAATAGGGAGCATTAGTGACTTTGACTCTTTTAGTTCCCTGAACTGAGGTTTCAGCAGTTGAACCAGCATTGCATATATCAGATTCTAATGCTTTACTTTTGAGGCCACCTTTCATTTTCCTCTTTTTCTTTGAGGTCTTCTGTTCTGGAATTGCTGCGTCTACTGGGGGTGCAGCTGTTGGGCAAGCAGGGTCTATTGAGATCACTTGGTCTATGGGAACACCCGACGGCACTGTTGTAGAGATTATCGATTTCTGAGCTGGAGCTTCACTTTCACACAGCTTGCCATTGTGTTCTTCATTTTTTTCTCCACCATCACTTTCGTAGCTTTCACACTTCCTTTTCTTCTTCTTACGTTTCTTTGCAATCTTCTGTGCTGCATCTATTGGGGTTGCAGGGTGAGGGTTTATTATAATTGCTGGGTCTGTTGAGGGTTCTGTTATAGGATCAATAGGTCTCTGGACTTGGATTTCAATTGTCTTGCCGGCTTTTTCTTCCTCTTTACTTTTGAGTTCACCCTTTCTTTTCCTCTGATTCCCCTTTCTTTTCCTCTGATTCCATTTTCTATCCAAGTACTCATGTTCCAGCTCTGATAAATTTACAGGACGAGTATTCCCTAGGATTGTTGGGTCTACCGGAGGTACTTCTCTATCGATTATAGATGTCCGAACTGCAGTTTCACCTAATTCGATATTCTGCTCATTGGATTGCAACCCATCTAACTCACTCTTGTTCCTCTTCCTCTTGTGTTTCTTACCCGTCTTCTCTTCTGTGTCTACTGTATTCAATTGTTCCTGATCATGATCATGCTTGAGTGCATTCTCCACAACCACCACCTCATCCAATTTTCCTATTTTACTTTTTCGCTTTCTCTTACCAGTTACAGTTTCTGCACCTTCTACAGAAACTCCAACTGGTTCAGCTATTTTTTCGATTTCTAGGTCTAATGAGGGTTTTGATTCTTCCCTATTTGGTTGTTCTACTTCAGCATTGATCACGCTTTTCTTCTTATGCGACTTCTTTTTCTTAGGCAATGAAGATTCTTCACTTGATTTGATTTCTTGATTCGGTGTAACTACTACTAAGGGTTCAGAGCATACCTGAAGGTGAGGGTGTTCGTTCGGTTGTGCCGAGTTTTCGTTGTTTTTCTTCTTCTTTTTATGCTTCTTCTTCTTCTTGCTGTCATCGTCGTCTTTCTGCTCCGGTGGAGCAAATGCTTCGGGATTCTCCTCTGTGAGCATTTTGTTCTTGGAACTGAATGTTGAAATGAACCGAGATACAGGTAAATGCGGCGAGGGACTTGGCAGAATGGTGGTGGTACAAAATTAGGTTTCTTGTGGATTATTTGTATAGGAGATTTTGATCCAAAAAATGTATATATGCAGGATTTTTATCACTTTCACGAAATTAATTCAGATATTTTAATAATTAAAAATAAAATGCTTGTAAAAATATTATATAATAATGAATATGAATTTAATTGAAATGCATTTAAAATATAAATCGATTTTATACAATCAATTAATAAATGCCAGAGTAATGAAAAAATTTTAATTTTGATTTTAATCATTTATAAAATTATTAAAGCTTGAAATAAATTGAGTTAATCTCGTCTAAGTTCGAGGTCAAGTATTTGGATATTACACATATTATTTATCAAATACCATAATATTTTTAAGAAAGATATCTTAAAATATAATTGCCAGCTTTACTAATATAAATAATAGTATAGAATGAAAAATAGAAGGTGAAGATTTAGAGTAAATCTTTACTCCTATTTCATAAAATTTAGTATGAGATTGTACATCTATTCATAAAATTTAGTATGTGATTATTTTTTTTTATTTTTACTCTCACTCAAACTGTTATCTTAGCCGTTTATAGTTGATTGTAATTACTAAAGACCAATCCACCAAGTGTTGCAAATAAAAGACCTTGTGATAAGCAAAGACTATAAATAAAAAATTTGAAAACCTAAAAACACTTTAGCAAGGAAAATGCATAATTTAGTTTTGATTTAAAATGTTAATTTATTAATCAATTTAAACATGTTAGATGTGAACACATGAGAAGAAATAATTATTACATAAAATATATTAGAATGACTTACTAATTACTAGTAATAGTCAAAAATCACCATAAATTTCTTTTTTCACCTTTATAAAATTTTCCTAACCTTTAATGAAAAGTCAGAAATATTTTTAGTTTTTGAATATGTGTCTCTAAACATATAAACGCAAATAATTAAGCGTCACTTACCTTGTCAAAATGTAATTCGGAGTGCAGGTTTTAAAGTTTGTCTGTATATACATCTTCGGATTAAATTTTATTTTTAAATTCAGATGTTTTTTTGAAAGTGTCTCTCCGAACACGTTTAATTAATATATAACGCGCGACAAACAGACCTCTTTTCTCCTTCTTAATTTTCTGAAATTTTTGAGACCCCAATTAAGGCTCGTGAGCAATATTCTTCCCGTCCATTTTTCAAGGATCAACCCTACCTCTACTTTAAACTTTTCAATCTCAGCTTACTCAATTTACTACATTCAACATTTTTCATCTCCAATACTTTTTTGAGTAAGTTTCTCATTTAATTTTTTTTGAATTTTGATTAATGTATTAGGTAAAGTAGGTTGTTTTAAAAGCATTAAGTTATAGTCATATTCGAAATAGGTAGCTCTTAGAGACATGCACTTTCATTTTGTTGCATTTTGGATTATTATTGCAAGATTGGTCTGCCATTGCTAGAGACACGAACTTATTCGGAGATGCATCTCTGAATTGTGTTCTGATGGTTTTCGAAGATGCATATCCGAAAATGTTATGATTTTTTCATTTTCTCTTTTTTCAGGAAAAATGGCTGCAAACAACAATGACAGATTGAGACTCGCCCGTGAAACCCAACACGCGTCTGTTCGAGTGAGAGAGTTAATCTTAAGAATGAGCAAGTCAGGGCTAAGCGGGAAACCGTCTCTAGACCTTATGACGGGGTAGCGTTGACTTCTAGGCATCGTCTGTCTCAGGGGTCATCATCCTAGGAGCACGTCTCTCCTGCTCATGAAAATCGGGATGCACCTAATGCTCATGAGGCTTGTGCACAGGAAGTTTTTGCTACACATGATGGTGTCCTTGCACTTGTATATGGTTATCCAGGAGAGACTTCTAACACCTTCATATTGATAAACTATATAGAGCATGATGTTGGGTATGTCTAGGCCGAAGAGGTATATTTATTAACAATTGTTATTTATATGTTTTATACAAATTCTCAACGATTGCTATTTTTTTTATAATTTTTTTTAACAGGAGCACGAATGTTTGAAGTCTGTTAACCACAACAAAAAGATTTTGCAACTTTATCAGCCTGAGGCTAATTGGTTCTAGAGTATCATCTGTTACTCAGGTTTTGTTGGCTTATATTATTCTGGATACAAGACCATTAGTCATGCCATGAAGGGGGCTTTTGTTGAGACGTGGCATAAAGAAATGTCATCTTGCTACTTTCCCATTGGCAAGATGACGATTACACTAGATGATGTGGCTTGTCTTTTATACCTTTCCATCGGAGGGAGTTACATGATCATTCCAGGATTAAACATGATGAAACCCAAGAGATGATGGTCATTTATTTGGGAGTTGACCCAGTTGATGCCATGATGTGGTATGAGAGCACCAGTGGTGCGCATGCCAAATTTTTATACTTAATGACATACTGGTGGATTACGAGAGTCATCAGGTACCCAGAAGAGTGTCGGAGGATGTTATACACAAGTCTTTATTTTACACCCTGTCATGACATCAGACACTCTTGAACGTTCACCTAGGCCGCTCATGAAAAAATCTTGAAAAATGAGTTGGTCAGGGATGACCATGTCATTATCGTGTTGTCGATCTGTCAAAATACTATACGACTTACATATGAGAGCATGGAGTCTAGGTTGTTGGAGAGAGGTGGTAATAATGTGGTTGCCCACGCACATGCCATTCTTTTCGAGTCACAGAATGCCTTGGGTTAGCGACGACAATGAAAGAGCCAGGGGGTAGGAGTAGGCATACGTCGTAGGTTATGTTTATTTATTTATTTTGGGATGTTTTAGTATTATTTTCTATACTTTTAGAACAATGTTTGTAAAGTTATGGGATATTTTTTCAATTAAGGCATTACTTTCTTCTATAATGTGTCGGTTTATTAATGTTTGAATCAAATTATGACACTGTTAGTCAGATTAAAATGACTTTGACTTCAAAAAAGATACAAACTTAAGACAATGTTTCTGCCCAAGATGCATGCAGGAAAATTTTCGAAGATGCATATCCAAAACTATGTTGTTTAAATAGCTTAAATGTACTCAATAATATTTTCGAAAATGCATCACCGATACACGTCCGAAAATTTCGTAGAATCATCTCCAGACTAATTTTTTTGCAAAACTATAGTGTCTGACTTAAAAATAATATAATCTAAAATGCGTCTAAAAATGCATATTCAAAAAATCTAAAATGCATCTAAAGATGCATATTCAAAAACTATTGATGAAGATTTAGATAATTACTTTTATACTATGGGTAAACTTCGAATACATTTCTATATCATAATCAATCTTCTCTATTATTCTCGACCATGGTCATTTTCAAAGAGGTGCTTTGAAAAATTTGTTGTTAATTGCCCTATGGTTTCCGTTGAGAATGATGTAAATCTAAATAATTTAGTTTCTACGAATAATTCTTTTAAAAAATTGAAAGTGTGAATGTGAGAAATAGAGTAAAATAACATGAAAGAAACCAATAAAAATGAGTATATCCATGTTTTTGAAGATGAACAACCTAGATATTTATGAACTAAAACATGGAATAATGTGAATGATTTAATTGTTAAACTATTGTCCCAAATATTGTATTATATTAAAACTCGGAATTTAAACATAGAGAAGTTTTAGTTTAACTTGTTGAACTTTAAACATATAAACATATAGATGTTTTACTTTTACTAGTTGAACAAGATAATATTACTTAAAATCAAGACTGATGATAATCTTTAGCATAATGAAATGGAAACCTGGAAACAACAGTTTGGGAAACAAACATCGATTAGAGTTCGTTTGCAACAAAAAAATTATTAAAAAAACACTAATCTTATCAAAAACCATTTGAGCTTTAAATAATGGGACCAAAATCATCCTTATAATCAAATAAGAGTAATGATAGTAAACTAGTAACTATTCCTAACAAAAAAATAGGTTTAGTTTTCTTTTGAAAGCACTAGGATTAACAAATCGTCAGCAAGGAAAGATAATCCAGTTTGCATGTCAATTCTTCAAAATCTCAGGTAACCCAACCCTTCTGGAGAAAATTGCATTTGATTTCAATCTAGATGAGACTCAGCAGATTGCAATGCATAGCAGGGTCCTATTGTATACTTAGAGGTACTAGTAGAACAAAGAAAATGAAAACCAATATCCGTACAACACATTATGAAGAAACTATCTTAAATGTATGTTTGGATTGACCGTGAGTTTGGCAAAAATTATACTTTGGGGTTTCAACAAAATCACAATGTAACTAAGATTTTGTCAAACTCTGATTCCAAAAATGCACTAGACAAAATTTACGATTTTAGGACCTTTCTTTGGTTTTACATTGCCATCTTTGGACTTGGCAGACTTGTTCTTCTCATCGTCTTTTATTTCTTGTGTGGTAAAGTCATCCTCCATATCATCTCCGCTCACAAATTTGGTAACTTGACCCTTGGGTCTCTCGTCCGTTCTCAGCACTGAAAGAAAGAATGGGGTTATCCGACCATATACTATATATAAGCACCCTTTTCAGATGACTAAAAATACTTAGCAATCGAATAAAATAAGAAGAAATCACATATCAATGCAATTAAATAGATAAGATAGAGAAAGAGCTAAGCCTCAGATAAGAATGGCTGTGCATATAAGAACATTAGTGATTTTGATCATAATATGAACATTTATGACTAAGAAAAAACGTCAACTTGCATTTGGCATGGGTCCAAACATTTAACAGTCATTCATATCACTCAACTTTGTCATAACGACTTCTCTTTATTATGGGTGAAACCTCAAACAAAAAGTGAAACCAAAGATATCACAGAGACCAGTAGCACCAACACATCTGAAAAAAGGTATACCCGTATCAGTGTCGGTGTCACACATGTGATTACGTTCAATTTATTCATTTTTCAAACTATTACCGGTGTCAACGTGTCATTGTCGTTGTCGTGTCTGGTGTTTGCGTATGTGCTTCATAGTTTGAATAAGAACAATGCCCACCGACCCGTTAAACAAATTTTTTACAACAAAAAGGAAGATTGATACATATGCAATTAAATCAAGAAGATTGGGTAGTCCATGTCCTCATGAGTCATGATTATCAAATGTTACCACCCTATATCTACAAGGAAGATAGATTTTAATCATTTTGACATGCAATCAATAATAACCTATCTGTATACCGCACCACCAAAAAACTTGCTAATTTAAAACTTCCATATGAAGAACCCTTATCCAGCTAGACTGGCCACTCCATGATAGCAAATGACTCAAGAATTTTAGTATGAACCAAAATAAAGGACTTCGAAGGAAAACTATCAATACTGTTGGAGCCATATGGTTATCAAAATTGAGATTCAAATCATGAGTTGAAATACCTATTTTCCAAATCAGGAATCAAATCTTATTATGAATCGTAAGACACGTGATTAAAAAAAGGATATTTTTTAGAAAAAACAAGAATATAAATGGCAGCCATGGCATCGCCATGACAGAATGGCACGGTGGATTTTTTGATAACTGCCATAGGCATTTTGTGAAAGGGTACCATGGTTATAAATCGAAATTCAAATTGTGAACTGAAGTACCTATTTGAAAATTGTGAGTCGAATCTTATTATGAATCTTAAGACACATAATAAAATAAATTATATTTTAAAGTAAGAACAAGTAATGTAGCACAATGCTGTGCCCATGGCAGAATGGAGTGGCAATTTTTTTTAACAACCACCATAAGCAATTTGTGATGGGATGTCCGCCATGGCGGCCCTATAGGCTGCAATGGCTTGTTTATATGGAAGATATTTGGCAAAGATCCTTCCACAATATTCTGCCATCAACTATGCTGAATACATGCAACATGACAAAATATATAAGCCACTAATATATCATACAACATACACAAACCTCAAAATAATTGAAGATTCAATTTAATTCAAGTTGTAAATCAAATGATAAAAGAAAAGTGGATGGCTTTACAAAGCACAACAAAACTAGTTTGCCACATTAAGTTCAGGATGCAGTTCTTTAGAATGAATCAGGATTCATCATGGTGAATCAAGATATGACACAATGAATGGGGACTCAAGTTAGGATTCAAGTTAAAAATAGATAGACACAAGGATTTGAATTGATCGGATTCAATTTTGTATCTAATAATTGAAGATGAGAAACAACTCCACTCTAAATCATCATACAACGTATCTTCTTAAGATACATATAAGTTATAACATATGTGCAACCCTTCTCATTTATCCTAAGGTAGCAAAAGACCCAAAAACACTATAATTCCATCACGAGTTAGACGTAATGATAAGAAGTGAATGACTCTATTTGTAGATTGGATTCAACCATAGCTTGTCGAAAGCGCAATATAATAGAACTAGGAGCAAACAAACGATACATAACTGCAAACAAATTAAACAAAAATGCAGCACTTGACATCAAAACCACATATAGAAGCACAAAAACCCAATCATTTTCTTCTAAAGAAAAAACTTACAGTTGTGAACAGCCCCTTTAGCAGCACCACCAAATCCATTCTTCCCTTTGTCAGGACAATCCTTTGCCAAATGTGTCACACCACCACATAATTTACAACAACCACCCTATCATAAACAACAAGTGTTGTTAATTGAACTAAACTGACAGTTATACTTTTGAAAGAAAAGAGTATACTGCAATGTAAACAACCCTGAAGAGCTTACAAAAATAAGCTAAAACCAACTTATATACATGTTATAAGCCATGAAGCACGGACACCAGAAACATGAGACCGACACTCACGCGTCAACACCAGAAATAATTTGAAAAAATGAATAAATTAAATGTAATCACAAGCATTGGTGTCAATGTCAGTTTCACCTTCTTTTTTTTCCAGTGAAACACCTTTTTTTAGACACTTTTTCACAAGTGTGGATGCTAGGATATAAGCTACTAACAAAAACTCTCACAAGCACTTGTACTATATAGATAAGCTAAAATAAACCAATGCAATTATGCAAATAGACCTAATATACCTTTGGATAAATGCCATTAGCATTTTTAGGGCAATTCTTACTCAAATGCCCCTGTTCATTACAAACAAAACACTCAGCAAACTTCGTTCCTCCGTCTTCAAGAGGATACGGACAATTAGCAAGAGAATGACCATTATCACCACAATTGTAACAGAATTTCACATCTTTAGACCCATCAGGACAATTCTGAGCTCTATGCCCTCGTCGCCGACACCGCAAACAAATCTTATTCCTTTCCCATTCAGCTTTCTCGGTGCAGAACTTAGCGATATGATCTAATCCATTGCAAATGAAACAGCTGTCGCCGGGTTTCATTCCGGGGACTCGAAGGGGGCGTTTTCCGGTGCGGGGTTTGTCTTTTGAATCGGCCTTTTTGCGTTTGAATTTGTTTTTCTTCTTCTTGGATGGGTCTTTTGGAGGAGTGGGTTCTGGTTTAGGAAAGAGTGCAGGGTTTTCGGCTTTGAAGCGTTTCTTCGCGAGGCGTTGTCTTTGGTTCACCATTTTCGTTGATTGGTTGATGAGGTTGGGTTCCAATGGGTTAACGCTGAAATGGTTCGTTTGAGATTGCGGCTGCGCTGCGGTGTTGAGACGAAACAAATCCAAAGGGTTTAGAATTCCAAAAATAAAAGTTACAAAGGTTTTTCTCCGCTTTCGTTTACTATATTTTACTAATTTATTTATATTTTTTAACTATTTATCTTTTGCAATAATAAAAATGGTTTTTGTTTTGTTTAATTTATTGTAATTTTTAGTATCTCGATTGCAGTTAGGGCTGGAAATGAGTCGAGTCGAGTCGAACTCATTAAGAATTGTTCGAATTCGAGTTCGAGTTCGAGTTTGACACGAACTTTTTTTTAAGCTCAAACTCGACTCGTTATAAGTTCACGAACAGTTCGGTTCGACTCGTTAGGTTCATCTCATTAGGTTCATCTCACATGGTTCACGAACTTAAAAACTATTTTTTTAAATATATATAATTTTTGGTATATTTTACATTTTAAATAAATATATATTTTTTAAATAAAATATTAAAATAAAATAAAAGTTATCATATTGAAATTTAACTTTATCTTTGAAATCTACTAATTCAAAACCTACACAACTTTCAAGAGACACATTTGAGAGTCTAATTCAAAACTACTAAATTGAAGATTAAATTTGTCTAAGATTTGAAGTAAATATTTAAACCTAATCTTAAAGATAGTATAATTCTTTTCATATGTAACCGAGTTGACTCATGAACCTAACGAGTCGAACTATGTATAGTTCAAGTTCAGCTCATTTAGTTAACGAACTTAATTTTTCGCTCATACTCAACTCATTTGGTTCATGAACCTAGTTCATCGATTTAATTGTCGAGTCGAATTCCGAACTATCTTCGAGTTGGTTTGGTTCATTGCCAGCCCTAATTGCAGTTATCTGATGTTTGGACAACTTATTTTCTTACTTGAATTATCTGATTTTTTTCTTGGAATTATTTTTGTTTTATTTACATATTATTTTAATATAATTTGTCTGGATTTTCATCTTTATAGTTTAAATTTTAAATAGTTTAAGAACTTTAGAATTTAAATCATACCAAATAAAACTTAAATATAAAAAATCACAAATTTTAGCCTAGTTGACAAATATCTTGTTAAATTCAAGGCTATTATTAAGTTTATTATTAGAGTTCTGAATTTGATATTCAAGCTTATGAATGAGTTTATAATAATTATATTATTGAACTTGATATTCAGGTTATGAATGAGTTTGTAATGATTATATTAACGAAAAAGAAAATAAAAATTGTTTGATTTAAAAAACTGTTTATATTTTTTAAAATTTAAAAATAATAAAATTTATTTGATAAACTAATTTTATAAATTAAAAAATCAGAATAAATTTTAGAGTTTTTTATTTTTAGTAAAATTAAGAAAAAAAAATACATTTTTCATTAATAATAAATTTATAATATACTGCAATTTTTTAAGGATTTTTAAAAGTAAGATTATCAAACTTATTTTTTCAAAATTGTTTCCTAAATTGATTTACAAAATTGTTGTTAAAATTTAAAGTTTAAAATTCATTTAAACAACCCCAAAGTTATAATGTGTTAATGACAAATTTGTACTTACAACATATCTAACCAAAATAGGTATCAACTAGGTATATTATAAACAAATCAATATTTTAAGTTCATTTAACCATTAATATATTTGATCTATATATTGACTAAATAATATTAGATGTGTAATTAAATTTTATCTGTATGTGGTTATTGATAGTTTAGCATATAGTTATGGATAGTTTAGTAAGTGATTATTGATAGTTATGCATATCGCTACTAATTGATAGTTATGCATATTAATAATTATGTATGTGGTTAATGCTGTTAGAGGAGTTTATCACTAGGGAGCATTGAATATAGGCCAAGAGCAACACAAGTGAGAGAGATACCACATATTCACCAAAAATGTTAAGGTGATAGGTGTATGGGTTCTCCCACTTATAAATGTTCAAGTCATCATATTCCTATCCAATGTGAGACTATTATTCATACTACTCACACTTGTTATATTATTTCAACACTCTCCTTCAAGTGTGAGTCCATAATGCTCTCTCTCATATGAAAACTCTTTTGTCCACATATATTTGTACCGTCGTTGACACCTATTACTAGGCACCTCTTATTAGGTATTTCAAATATACCTCTTCCTTGGGCATTTTGATTTCAACGAGACAACACTTTCTGGACATTTTGATACATGTAAGTCGGTCCCTTTATGAAACAAAGGCTCATGATACCATGCTAAAGGAGTTTATCACTAGGGAGCACTGAATATAGGCCAAGAGCAACACAAGTGAGAGTTCAGTCAAAGAAGACATCGAAGCAGGTAATGATGTCGAAGTTGAAGAGGATACGGCTGGCACAAGTCAGAGACCCCAAAGAACTAGAGCTCGTCCAACAAGACTTCAAGACTATGAAGTAGCTGGTGACGATTAAGTCATAATAGATGGGGAACTAGTCCATTTTGCTTTACTTGTAAGTGCTGAACTAATCAACTATAGGGAATCCTTCAAAGATAAATAATGGAAGTCTGCTATGGTCGAAGAGTTACAAGCAATTGAAAGAAACAACACATGGGAGTTGGTCAAATTGCCATCCCGTACAAAAGTTATCGAAGTAAACTGGGTGTTCAAGTTAAAGTTTAATGTTGATGGGTCAGTAGCAAGGCATAAAGAGAGATTGGTAGCTCGAGGATTTCTCCAGAGAGCAGGACTCGACTACTCTGAAGTATTTGCACCTGTCACAAGATTGGAAACTGCTCGACTAGTAATGGCCTTGGCATGTGATCGCGACTTTCTATGTCTAATACAACTAACTGCAAGTGCACAGTCTATCGCGTAGTAATAAAAGATATCGATCCCACAGGGACTCGTAATCAAACTAGTGTTCTCGGGAGTTACTATGTTTAGCTAGGTAGAATATGTTTAAGGGAATAAGATTTGTCACTAAAAGAGGGAACTAAGATTACTGTTTAGATTTTAATTAATTGAATCGATACGTAGTAATTGTGTTCTTCAGGGATTTGATAAGTTACTGGTGTATGAAATAGTTTTCACAGTTTATTTAAGCAGAAAATGGAGATTTGAAGACTCTCGTCTCACGATGGTTATTGACGCTAATCATAATCCTAAGGGCCAAACGTACACTTTCGTATCCCGTTCGGGGTTAAAACTATTTTTTGGAAATCTCTAAGTTCTAATTCGTTTTAAAGTGCTTTCGCTGTTATTAAAACAAATGCCTAGTGTTTACTATCTGACCTTACCGCAGCTTTCGCTTGTTGGTTCGTATCTTAATTAATTTCCCACTTTCGTGGCAAAACTACTTTTAAATAAGTTCTCGCTTTCGCGACGAAGTTTATTCAGTGAATCAATTTTAAACACTTAGACCATAGATTATTTTTTTGTGAAAAGAAAGTTTTCAAACAAGAGTTATCAAATCCCATTCGAATTATTACTACATATCGATTGCCTAAGTTTAGCTAGACATGGAATTGGGAAGAACAAAACATAAATAATAATAATAAATAATAAATTGCATTATGTTAAAACAGAAGTCGATCAAAATGAAAACCTGTAAATATGCCAATTGGCCTTTGGGCAGATCCTCCACAGATGTTGGCAGGATTCTGGTCTTTAGTGCCAATTTGATCGTACAATGCAGTAGCAATTACAAAAGAGCGGAAATTGGAATAAGGAAATGTAAAGGAGAAATGGATACAAATAAAAACTGGAAAGTAAATTTGCTCTGGAAATTAAATTCGGCAGCACTTCGTGGTATGAATGCAGCTCTCTTTTTGAAGTCCCCTGCTTCCCTTTTTATAGAAGTGGAATCCCAACGGTTATCTCTGAGGATGATGGACCTTGAGGCAGATAATTTAGGGAGTAGTGGACCACTTAATGGGAATTGGAACTGCTCTTTTGACGTGTAATCTGAGTGGGGCGTTTTTGCCTGCATGACGGTCGTCACAAGGTGTGACGGTCGTCACCCGTGTGACGGTCGTCATGCATCTGTGACGGTCGTCACATCAGCAAAAACAATCTGCTGCGCTTTTCATTGTGTTTTCACTCCTTTTTCGTCCATATTTCATCTGGGATTGCTTCTTTTCTTCATGTTGCCTTGTTTAGACGTGATCGTTGAATACCTGCAAAAACATCAGACAAATACACGGAAATAACCCGAAATCGGATCGAAAACGGTTAGCTTTTAGTCGAATTATGCATAAAAACATCTATATGATTTCGTGTTATCAGCATGCAAGCAAGGCTAGTCAACATTTCACTTAGATGTAAAATCAGCATTTTTCAATGGACCTTTAGAAGAAGAGGTATATCTCACACAACCTCAAGGTTCAGCCCAAGTGCAATAGCCGTGACAATCCTGCCAAAGTAGAATGGCTTCGAGCCACGGTTGCAGTTGGCCTGAATGTGAGCCAGCAGAAACGGGGCAGCGTTGACGGGTTCATTGTTGAAGACGCAATGAAGAAAGAAGAGCTCCTTGGAGTTCACTTTGTGGTTGCTGTCTCTGGCGAAGATAGTGTTACTCAACGCTCTGTGAAAGTACCTGATGGCGGGGTTATGGATGTGAGTGACATGCAGGGAGTCCCAACCATCGGCATTTAGGCCGGTCAACTGATACCACAGCGCGAAGGCTTCGTGCTGGAACTGATCAGTGATACGACGATGAGCGTTGTCGCCGCGGGGTAGCTGTAGGATGCTGGCGATCTGATTCTAATTCACCTGATAGTTGACGCCAAACATCCGGAAATATGCGGCACCTGTGTGCTGGTTGAGTTCGCCGCTGCTGGTGACGTAAGTGAACGAACTCAAGAACTCAAGGGTGAGTTGTTCGTAGGTTGGCTGGGGGTTGGTGCAAAGGTTCCAGATGCCTGCTCGTTGAAGCATCCAGGTTACACCTTCAAGGAGTCCGAGCTCCGTAAGCGATGGAAGGTGCG